TATATATATATATATATATATAGAGAGAGAGAGAGAGAGAGAGAGAGAGAGAGAGTAAAGTAGTTCCTCTATCATTTTCGATTGTCAGAATCTACATTTTGTAGGTTCGTGATATCGTAATATTTGTTGATGGTAAAACCTCTGACGGTCAGTCCGTCCGTCGATTCGTCTGCTTGTTGTCAACGCTATTGCCTAAAACTCACGATTTTCTTGAAAATTGATATTCTCCGATCGATTTGGCTGAACTTTAGGCCCTGCGAATTAGAACGGGTAATCTGATTTTGGAGGCTACAACGTTTTCCTTTTTTAAGTGCCCCACAAAAATTTGATTGAACTTTTTCATCAGATTGGAGAAAAGGCGCTTATAAATGGCGCAGGTCCCATTTATTGTACAGTCTCCGTATTTTCAAAAATTGCAAAAAATAACGTTGCATTCACTTCATAAATTTTCGAAAATTACAAAAGCTCAACTTTTTTGGTATCTTCCTACGAGTACAATATTGAAGATAGATATGTTTTCTTTAAGTCAACTGTTCTTCAATGACAGATATTTAAATAAGGCCATGTCCTACAAATTTCAAAATAAAAATATCATCAATTTTTTGGCTACCAACCACTTCAATGACCACCTTGAAAAAAGTGTTTGAAATAAAAAAGTTAAATTTTATGGTCTAATTCACACGAGATTAATCTGACCCCGCTCCCCGAAGAAGTGGGACGCGTACCTGATTGAAATTTTAAATAGAAAGATTCACTTTTTTTATGTCATGTCAGGTATAAATAGGTAGAACCATATTCCAACTTTTTTTTTCGATTTTTGATAAACGACTCTGTAATTAATCAAAACTAAGTAACATCGATAGGGGAAAACTACATTGTATTTCATAAACAACTATTCAATAAATATTATTATTATTAGACCATAAATATCTTTTGTCTTATTTTGACAAACTGCTTGCTCCAAAGCTTTTAGATCAGAACTTCTAAAAGTGAGATAAGCAGCAAGTGACCTTGCGAGGGAGACGATCTGCCCACGCACGATAAAATTATCCATACGTGAAGTGTGGATATTTCCCTTGCTGTTCCTATACTCTTCTTGAAGTTCACAACCTGTCAGTAAGCCTGGACAAACCGAACGAAAATATATGGTTGACACTTCACAAATGTATTCCAGTTAGGACTACATTATTATAATGTAATATTGTCAACATTCCTACTCATATACTAAAATCACATTTAGTATGCATAAACGAGTAGAGAATTATTAACTCTATGCAGTGAAAATACTGGACTTGCGCAACAATCATAGCAAACATAGACGAATAGTCTGTTTGTTGCAACAACATAGTTTCTACTATTCATTGTTCCTTGGATAATTACCATTTGTTGATTTTTCTCCACGTTTATGACGTTTGTACAGTGGGATAATAGGTGTTTATAGATTGTGCACGCTGCTAGATTCCTGTTTAGTGTAGAAGTTCATTTCAACACTATGTCGTATATTGAATAATTTCAGTGGAATTTTGTATGAGAGTCTATAAGCATTCATTCAAATATGTGCATTTTTCGTTAACCGGGCATCTGATCATTATCTCGTACCGTACATATGAAAACACGTAGCAAATGGATCACATGAAGCATTTATCTAGTGGTGAAAATAATTACAGCTTCTGTCCTTATTGTAGCAAATAATAATGATGATTTGTAACTGAATTACGAATAATACTCGTATAATAAATATTAGCGCTCAATACATTATAGTCTTCATTTACAAAAAATAGTTCAGAGGTCGCCTTTACAATTTTGCTGAATTCTTACGTATTTTCTTTTGTTTGTTTTATTATTTGGGGCGAAAAAGTTTTAAAGAGTTCTCATCACCTACAAACACGGCAAGGTAGATATTATTTAATTATTTCCGAAGAAAAACATATTTCCGAGAAAAGTTACAAAATGTAACCAAGACATTAAAAATTCACGTACGTACATTTTTCTTGTCGTGAATATAAGAGATAAATTCCCAAGCAAAATAACATTAAAGAAATGCTGTCATAAGTAACCCCATAAAAAAGCATAACGCTGAACAATACAGCACATTACATTTAGAGACAAAAATTTCATTTTCAGTGGTGTACCCAAAAAAGTAGCTGTATGCAAGAAAATATGATAAAAAGTAAATAAAATCAAAATATAAAAAGAAAACATTCAAAATATCTACACAGTTTCTACAGTAAAAGGGTTTCAAAAATCTGTATGGAACAAATCCTTTTTGCGAATTGCGCTGAACACGAATCAAACAACGAACCCCTAAAACACCAACCATACTCAAATGATTCGATTTGATTTATTTCGTGGAAGAGCAGTAAAAACTGTATATGGCTTATGGGAGAGAAGTTAAATCTGCGCACATTTTATTGAGCTCCAGAAAACCTTCCCAACCTTTTAACCATAAATATTTGAATGATAAATAAAAGTTCCAACAAAACGAGTTTAGAAAGATTTGAAAACTAGACATTTGAGCACTGATTTTAAAAATAATCTCCATTCTGTTTCAACTGACGTTAATGCGTGGCGGCCACTGTACAATTTACAGACAGAGGCGATAGCAGAGGAGTATAATTATGATATATCGATATAAATATTATTAAGATGGTATATTTTAATTTTTCACATACATTTTATACGCATTTTTCAATGTCTAAAATGAGTTTTCTTGGATAATTTCAAAGTATACTATGGTACTTCATAGATCATTTCAGTTACAAAAGTGAAGAATGATCATCTCCCTTACAATTTTTAAATACACATTCTATAATAAGCAGGTACTTTCAGCTTCTCCGACCGATGAAAAGTCGATCAGTTGTTAGGAATAATAATGCGTTCTGTTCCAGGATAATGTAATAATTTAACGACAATGGTCGATGTTTATGAGAAGACAAGCACTAACTATAATTATCTGCAGGGAGATTTACTTCACTTTCTTGTAGTCACGTTTCATTATACTGTAGTAAGCTGCTCCGATTTCTACCGCGAGCGAGGGCGATCGTCACAGGTGTCCATCATTGCGCTCTCCACTGCATAGTGGAGACTGCAGGTGACCGACTGGTTTGCTGAGAGAAACCTCGCAAGCTACGAATAAAACGAAATAAAATTTTCATCGGAGTTCCCTTCTCTGAAGATTTTGAAGTCGTAGGACTGTTACTAGAAATGATTGCTCTGTTGCGAGCGTAAATGTGCTTTTTTTTAGATGTCTTGATCTTTTGCACGTGTTAAAAGACTACCCCCGCAATGGATACAAAGCAGTACCGCCCGATGGATGTTAAAGTCGTTGTGCCCGCGTCCCCATTCCGAGCAACGCGCCCAGTGAAAAGTACCGAAATCGCCTGTCGTTGGTCCTGATCAAGACGGCCCATGCTGTGCGTTGCCCGGCGCACCTCGCCTCCTCGCCCTGTCCCCTCCTCCTCCTCCGTGGCCGCCGTCG